CGTTTCCCCCTCCGCTAAGTCCTCCGCAACGAAGAGACCGCTACTGCGCCTGCGCGCCCATGGCTTTGACTGTAGAGTTCCGTGTATCGTAGCGGAGAGCGTCGCGGGACGGCAAAAAGATTTACGAAAACTCCCTAATTTCTATGCGGCTCCGCTGAATTCATACAAGTTGGGGGGGGGGGGGGGGGAAGGGGGGGGAGGGGGGCGGGAAGGACAGGGGGTGGAGGGCGTAGGGTTTAAGCTGTGGTCACACTGCATATACATCGCCTATAAAATACGAACTGCAGACACTGTCTACAGGTACGTTTCTTCCGCCTCAACCATGTTAGAAGTATGCCTCGTATATATGTATCCACCAAACATAATGTAACGCGGCGTTTAATGGTTCGCAGAAGAGAGCTATCTCTACTGCGCAAGCTGAGTCATTAAAGATGGCAGCATGGACAAGGTGATTATCGCACTCCTGACCAAACTCCCATTTTATATATGCGGTGGATCTTTTATCTGGGCCTCATTGTCAGAAATTCACGTGGTCAGCCCTGACAGGGTTTTTCCCGCGTTTTAGTCGGTGTTTTTTCCGTGTCTGGGCAGCGTTTCTTTTCGCGTTCAACGAGGCGTAGTGCCTTGGCGGAGACTCCCGCCTAGATACCCGTAACCTGTCCACAGGAAGAGACTTCGGCGTTGCACAAGCGAAACCCCACCAGCGGAAAGGACTTCTCCCAATAAAAAGATAAAAAGAAAATGCAAAGTAAGGAGGCGGTGAAAGAAAAAGCGAAGGTATCCGATAGAAGGAGAGTGGCAGCCACGCGATACGGACTTACACAAGGTTGCAGAGGATAATGAAGCGGGCATCTGCAAGGTCTGCCGTAACGAGACACACGTCTTCATCTGCATAACTAGAGTTGCCGCTCGTCAGCGCTTTAGGGTGCATGGTGACTTCAGGCCATTTTTCTGGAACGATCTTCCTTTTCTTCCAGAGTACGTGTAATAACGCCGCGCAGCTCGAGCTGGTGCATCGCCGCCATTTTGGAGCATACCATGTCTTTGTACAGGGTGTCACAAAAGAAAGTTTACATGGTCTTTTTTACCGCAAAGATAAACTAGGCATCGCCGAACGCTCATTCTCCGCCCAAAGATAAAGCTAGAGGTCACAACCAGATGCCCAAGTTTCAGCCCGATCTGATGACTTAATCAAAAGTTACGTTATTTTCTGAAAATTTCAATGGGAAAATGGCGGCCGACGGAGTTTTCAAACAGATGGGGCTCTATGGCACCAGAAACCGAAAACGGGCAAAAATGGGCTCCATTTTCCCATTGGAATTTTCAGATAATGACTTATAACTTTTGAATAAGTTATCGGATCGGGCTGAAACTTTGGCATCTGGTTGTGACCTCTAGCTCTACCTTTGGGCGGAGAATGAATGTTCCGCGATACCTAGTTTATTTTTGCGGTAAAAAATACCGTGTAAATTTTCTTTTGTGACACTCTGTACTTTCCTGCGATCACGTGCTGTCGACAACAAATACTACAAAAAGTGGTAACACACATACACACAAAAAAAAGGTGCGAGGATAGAACAAGCACATTTAGATGTTGAAGAGTTTGAGAGTTCGTTGTGTTTGTCCTCGTGTTGTTTTTGCCTTGTCTCGTTTTTTTTTTTCCTTTTTTTTTAGTACGATTATGCACTGGCTTGCCTGCGCAGTTACCCTCATTTCAGTGGCAAGAACACCAGGAAGTTTTAGCAGGCCGTGTTTTTGTAGAATAATATTGGTATCGTGATGAAAGCACTGCACCTGCCTACTTTTTAAAACCGTGGCTAAAAGAGGCTCTGTTTGAGCGCCAATCTGGCAGCCTCGGGCAAGCCTTAGCCGGGAGACTAACACATGATCTACGCACGCCACCAGCCAGATGGTGGCGCCGAGAGGCCGGACATGCAAACGTCTACACTTTACACACTCACATTACACGGTATTCGCACAGACAATACCACGAAGTCAATGGACGTTCTCTCGCGGACCTGTACTTAGTAAAATGTGTAAAGTCGAAAATACTTATAGAATCTAGACCGTTCGCCAAGGGCTCCCGGGGCGGCGCCATTTTGTTCGGCTGCAGCGCCATCTACATACATCCGGGCATTTCAACGGAATCGTCGGTGTAAAAGAGGGAAAGGAAACGCGCCGTCCTCATCGCTCGAAAAGTTCCGGGCCCAAACATGGAGGCTCATTTGCCTCTTTCATCTCACCGGCTTGGCTTATTATGTTCACACTTCTCGCTTTGTGATTGGCTCTTCGGTGTCCTGATCGTCTAATGCCGCAATCTGATTGGTTGCGGAGCGATAATAACATGCACGGGACTCGCCGCGCCCTGTGTTTCTTAAGTTGTCAGGGACTATATATCGCAGACAAGGACGTCGCTTATTAGACTGAGCAGACAGAAAAAAAAATCGTACGGAAAGTTGCTGGACATTTGTGTTGCATATGCAGAATGTTCTGGCAGCACGTGACATCAGGTCACGTGATGCCAAGGAGACTGACGTCACGCGACATCAGGTCACGTGACCTCAATGTCCCTCCTAATTTTAGAAGGGAAACTCAACTGGTGTGCAGGTCACGTTAAGTTAATTATCCCGCTAAATTTAGGGGGAAAATGGACGTCACGTGATTTGATGTCCCGTGACCTACACACCAATTCAATTTCCCCGCTAAATTTAGCGGAGAAACTGAATTGGTATGTAGGTCTGCGACGTTCCATAACGCAACGCTGCGCGCGTTGCATTATGGGACGACACAGGTCACAGCTTCGCGAAATTCGGAGCAACTAGCCAAAGAATGCTTCACGTTAAAAACAATATCTTAAAACAAGATGGCGACTGGCGAACATCTGCAAGGTATCACCACCCGCCGCCCGATTGAGATGGTTCGGTCTTATTGATTCATCCGCGGAGCCATCCGCAGACTATAGTGCACGTGAACCACGAATGTACGGGGCTAAGCGAGAGAAGCGGAGGCTTGAAATCCGGGACGGGGACGAGAGAAGATAAGTGCCACAAACACAGAAACCGAAGGCGCTGGGGGCGTCCAATATCGAGGATCTGTCGTCCCCCGAGTTCCGAAACCATATTGTACATTGTACGCGAGAAATTAGCAACATCTGTCCGGTCTAATATATATATAGATATAATTTAACCCAAGACACACTTTGCGACATTGTTAGCGCGAACAACCCCAGAGCCGGCTTTCTTTGCTTTTCTCTCAGTATTGAAGGGTCGTCGTCAGAACTACTATGGTAGTGGAAAGTGCTTAGTTGAGATACTAACCTAAGTGGTAAATATCGATGCCCGCCAGTACTCTTTCCAAGTAAAATGCGAAAATAAAAAAAAAAAAAAAGTCGTGATCGCGTTAGCAATGTCGCTCACTGTACATCGCTGGCGTTCCAACGGAATTCCAACAGGGGACTGACGCACTGACTTTCGCTTTACAAGAGTGACTCACACCAGCCCCAATGCACGGGCTCCGATGTGCAAGATTCTACGAACAGCGCGCGGATGCTTGCATCCGTCGCCCGAGTGGGCGCACGCACTCTATAAGAAATCGGAAAAGTCTACTTTTCCGCAAGGCACTTGTGAGAATCAACAGCTGCAGTCTGGAATTGACGAGGTTTAAAACAATAAAATTATGTTTTCCGATGCGACACCGAGCATGATGTAAGCACATGAAACCGATCCTAGGCGTCCCATCGTAGGCTTCGGTCGGCTGCACAACGCGGTGCTTTCCATGGACTCGAGTGACGCAAGGGCACTGAGCCTCCCTTGAAATATTCTCGATCCAATACATTACAAGCCTTGTCCAAGCTTTAAGAAAAAATCTGCAAATATATGTTGATGAAACTTAATATTTAGATATGTCAGTAAATCAAGCGAGAGCCCGATGGCGTTTAAATATGAAGACAGTAAAGTTATAGAGCTTCCGACTTTATTCAGAGAGTGACCAGAGACGTGATTTTGACGCTTTCCGAAAAAACGTCGGTAAACGTGAACGCAGAAAAAATATTTTCATTGAATTGCGAAAGAATATAAATGCTGAAATTGCGGCGGAACACTCCGCATTTACGGTTTGATTCCCAATATCGGCACGTACCGGAAGTTGATGAGGATTACCTTTCAAAGGTATCTTATGCACTACAATCGCGCTCATGCAACGGTAAACGTCAGCCTTATCGTAGGTAAACAAGGACGTTACTCTATTGCATTGATCTGTATCACGAAAACGAGAAACCTACGAATAATCTGTCATATGATAATAGATAAGATGTGACGAAACTGACCATACCCTGAGAGGATAGTTGGTGAGGTCCTCTGCGTGACAGCGATGGGATGAATATGTACAGGGTGTGACAAGATGAGATAGCCTAAAGCCGCAGTTACATAAACAAAATGCCCGCCCCCTTCCCCCCCCCCCCCCCCCCCCCAAAAAAAAAAAAAAAAAAGAAAAAAAAAAAAAAACACACTTAAACAAACGTTATAAAGGGATCAAGCTGAGACGATGGTCTGCGGCGTCAACGCACACTCTTTCCAGGTGCCAATCAAAATTTGTTTTTGCTCTCTCGAGACGAACACGCCGGGGTAAACTTTAACCGGTCCCGCGTATCAAACCGTTTGCTCCGCGCTTGCTATTCGATCTTGCAACGGACGACTGACCGAAGCGCAGATTGCTCTTCAAGGACTCTCCGCTCTGTATAGACAAGCTTACACGTGTTCGCACCTGCTTTTCCTGCTGGCTCTGACACGTTTCATAAGCCCCCGAGTCGCGTCGGATTAATTAAAAACACGTGATGCCCGATGGCAGGCGACGCAAGGTTGACGTAACTTGGCACCCGCGTGGTAGCGCCGCCTTTTCATGGGACTTATCGTACGTCTACAGCCGCTAGATATGGCCCTGAGAAAACTCGAAACGGAAGACAAACAGCTGCAAACTGGAATGAAAAAAAAAAAAAAGCTCACCTCATTTCGAGCCGGTGGAGATCGGAAGCCTGAAGCGTTTACTCCTGTTCTTCGTGGCGGCTTTGCTGACTCGGCCGCCGTGTTGTCGTCGGGAAACACAATGGGCAGATCTTCCGTTGTCCTGTTCCTGGTCACTGCCTCCCACGTCTGACCCCACACTCCAATCGCGGCCAGTAACGAAGCCGCCAGAAGCCAAGTTCCGCCGTAGCTGCGTCCGAAAAGCTCCATGTTGTCGCACATATACGACGGCTTTGGGAAGAGTTGCCCAAGCGTCGGCAGGCGTTGAGGGGTGTCGTGTTTGATTACGTCCTCGGCGGCTGGCCGCTAATCACAAGTCGCTAATCGCGTCGAGGGTCACCGCCATGACTGCGAGGACCGCTTGGCGTGGCACCAGAAGGAGTCCTTGCCGAGCCGAGCAAGAGTCCTGACGGTCGTGGCCCTACTTCGGGTGGGACACGCTCCCGCTCTTTGGGCGGCGAGCAGCCGTCGTAGCCTAGTCAGGAGGTTGAAAAGGAAAAACGTGAGGGCGTTCCGTTTTCCTGCTTCGCACGTTGTCGCCGGCGTCGGCGCCGTTACCTTTGTTTGCTTATCGTTTACCGGAAGCGTCGGTCTTCGCAGCAGTCGCGTTCTCGTCCTTGTCGTCGGTCCTGGGAAACGTCGGCAACAGTTCCCAGTCCACGTGAAGACCACGACGCAGGCACGGCAGGACGACGGTGCGACGGAAACGGCGAACTGAAGTTCTCGGTCGTCAAACGGCACTGCAGTCTCGCGACGTTGACGGCAGGCGGTGGAGATCTCTTGCATCTGGACGCGAGGCGCGGCGGTTCTCTCTTCTGCACCGGCGGCGACTTCTAGACGACGTCATCGGGGGGAAAAATCGTAAGAATCCTTGCCACAACTCAGCGCAATGGATGTGACAAGGCGTACATGTACGTTTAATATCTCTGCAGGCGCCCGCTCGAGTCGAGGGAAATTAATTGCAGAGGGCCGGCTCGGTCGAGACGGCTCAGCGGTGAATGGTTCGTTCTGCTTGGGTTGTTGAACCGCCGCGAAGCTCTTCCCAGCTCCATGCTTCGTTCCGGCATACTATATTCATGACCGGGTTCGTGTGACGAAAAGACGGTATTTAACGACCTTGTTGCCGGAAGGCGGTGTTATGTTGTTGTTCGTCACCTTGTTGCCGCGGGTCCCGAGGTCATGGCGACCGGTTTTCAGGCCAGTTTGAGAAATCGGGCCTACGCTACGTCTTGTTTTCGCCAAAACTAACGCGAACCAAATTGATGATGAGGAAAGGCAGAAGTTCACGTTGTGTCCGGCACTATCCACGCGCTCGCCGAGAGGTACACGGTACAGGAGAAAGAACACCCCCAACAACATTACACACTTTGAGCGGTCGTGGAATTCAGGCCGCCGGCATTTTTTCAAGTCGGTGCACGATGGCGAAACATTGCATCGTCGAAGTTGTAAGGTCACGATCGAGCGGAACTCCTACAAGAGCGCACACCCTCAAACACGCGCACCGGCAGGGTAACACACACCCGACCAAGAGGAGAGAGACGACGCAAATCTGTCAAGCAAATCTCCTAAAGTTCAAGTTTTCATACCCAGTCTAAGCAACACCTCCCGATTCCAGCGTTCATCGAAGGCAAGTCCAACGGGCAGTTCCGGACGCCTCCTGGTACGAAGGGCACCGTCATCGTCGTCACCCACCGCGGAAGGTCGCGAAGCAACGGTCGTTCCGTCTGCGTCGGCGTCCGAGAGGCATCTCGGACCCTAGCGGAACTCGGGCTAGGGACTCTTGAGCGATCGAAGCACGCGCGGTCCACGGCGGTTTCTATGGGAACCCCCTCGCCCTTCCACCTCGACGACTTGCATCGGTTTGAAAAAACGGTGCAAACAATGTCGTGGGTGGGGGGAGGGCCTCGCTCGGTCCGCGCGGAGGGCAGGACAACAAGGGCGAACGATTTCTAAAAGAAACGAAGCGAAAAAACAAACGACAAAAACAAGCCAGGGTCCCAGTCCACGTCACCTGTCTGTCCTGGTGTCTACGCACGCCAGATGGGGGGGTCATGCGCCGCAGGATTTCTGACGGGGGGTCGTGCCTCACCTGACGGTCGATTGCGCGTCGGTGGGAGGGGGGCTGTTGATTAGGGGGAATTAGACACGCCCGGCGGGACGTCCGAAGCGCGCGCGTTTTCGGGAGAAGGAGTGGTCCCGCCCGCGCCAAACCTGTTGAGGTGAGGCGTGCCGCCGGCGGCCTGAGCGGCGTCGATGAGATCCGCACGCCATTAAAAGTTCTCGTCGGCGTTAAAGCGGCCCGTTACGTAGTGTCTCATCGTTATGCGGAGAGCAAGTCGTCTGTTTCTTGCGCAGGAGTTGCAGTGACGTCAAAACGACGCCAAGCTCTTTTTAGATTATCGAAAAAAAAAATAGTGGGTAGACCTTAAAGACCGACTTACGAAACCATTTTCCGCAGGGTAGGAAAGTGCTCCCCAACGAATTTCGCTCCCTCCCCTCTCGCACTCCTTCCTCCTCCTCCCCTGAAAAGGGCGGGTCCGGAAGCTAGTCTCCGTGGAAAGGAGAAGGGGATTCCTCCTTTCTGGGTGGCAAGGAGGAAACCTCTTCTCCCGCGGAATTGTTTTGTAGGTCGGCCTTTAAGGTATTTAGCATTGAGCTCTACCCACTATCCTTTCAATCCAAGCTAATCAGAGCTCGGCGTCGTTCTGACGTCAGCGCAACTCCTGCGTAAAAAGCAGACGACTTGCTCCCCGCAAACGCAACACGCTATCTATACATTCATACCCCTTGACACGTGTTCCTATAGAGAGTCACACCACTCAGTCTTCGCGCATCAATGTAACGCTGGCGGTTGGGATAATATGCCAAAGTTACAGAACTTACCGTTATCCGAATGAAAAAGCTATAAGCGATTATCGGAAATCTTCGATGAGAACATAGCGACCACCGGAGCCCGGGAATATACACGAAGATGAAAAGGCGACTGCTGCCTGTGGAACGCTGGCCCAGTTTTCTTATTGAAACTTTTTTTTCGGAAATTACTCGTTGATTTTTGAATCGGACAAGGGAGTTTCTAAACTTAGGAATCAGGCCCCCAAAACAGCCAAACCATATTTATCTTCTGGCGGAGCCTGTGCTTTCGGGAGTGCGTATAGTTTATTTTTGAGATGCGAGAAACACGCCCATGATGGCCAACTTTCTCGGACATTTCACGGAATAAAAAGTTTTCGAGGAAATATCTGAATTCTAATTGAGATGCGTTCTGTGGTACCCGGGCAATTACAGATCTCGGGACCATCACGATCTTTTGTCGAGAAAAGCAGAAATCGACAATTTCGTGAATGTCGCCCATATGATCCAACGCAAAGAAACTTGTTGAGCCAAGAATAAAAAAAAAAAAAATAATCCATTATCACAAGTTTAATCACTCCTTATGAATATTTTATGACTGCCATATAAAATATTCCCGGGGAATTAACATCGCGGTGTTTGTTGTTGTTCAGTTGAAATTTTCATTTTAGTGCGTACGCCGAGGCGTTGATGTCCAAATAAGTTCGGGATGTACGCTAAAAAATAGATCACCCGAATTCATCACCCTACGGTAAGGAATACACACCATACCACTTCCGATCGCGAAACTTTGTCCCCGCGAAATATTCTCGAAGGCTATAGTTTTCGAAAATGCCCCACCGTTCGTCCATGGCGACAGCACGCGGCCAGGGATGCGAGAGGTGAGGCTGGGCCGCTCCGGCCGATTCCCTGCGAAGACGTCGTGGCCATTCATGAGTTGCAAGCTGCTGTCCTGGCGGGGGTGCAAAGTTCTTTCAAAAAGTGGCTGAAAATACCACCGCACAAATGCAAGTGCATTCGGCATGAGAGGCAGTACGCAGATAAGGTAGACATATCCACCGACCTCTGCAGTTAATATCGGTAGCAAAAACAAAAAATAGGTAAGATTATATGGTATGTCCATTTTATCTACAGCTTTTGCAACAGGTCCAGAGCCGGCTCGCTAGAAACAGCGTCCTAGCTGAGACTGGGTGAAAGAATCCCCGCCGAGCCTGGGGCGGGCGAGCGCTTGAAACTCGACCTGAGACGCCACTCCGCCCGTTCCCAATAGCTTTTGCAGTGCTTTCTTTCACCTTCTCTTAGCTGAGACGCTGCATCTAGAAAGCCGGCCCTGGGCCATAGCCTCCTCTATACTTACAAAGCCTGGCAGTTCGACGACAGAGCCATGACTGCCCGGTCGCGGATTTGGAGCGCGAGGATCAGCATTTCTCGGGGAGCCTCGACGTCAACGCACAGCTTTTGCAGCGGCGAAGACCCGAAACACACTTGTTCGCTCGGGAGAAGTGTGTTTCGGCGTCTCGCCGCAGCGGGGCGCCAGTCACGTGGCTCTCCTCTCATCCGTTGTGTTCCGCTCCACCTTTTCCATTTCGGCGGCCACTTTTCGTGGCGATCTGCCAGGCTTTGTCAGTATATAGGAGGCCATGCCTGAGCCTACAGCGCGTGGTCGGATCCAGCTTGCTCTGATTCAAAGATGAAGATTGAAATAGAAAAAATAAGTGAACGACAAGCATATATTACGATCGACATATACTTAATCGTTTCAATGTATTCATCAGTTTGGTATGGGAGCGAACCCGCTCTAACCATTCGCACCGTTAACTCTGGACTCGCGATAGAAGGCTGTACATGTGCACCGACCTAATGCACCAATCTCAAGCACCTGCATGCTGCACGTGCTTGAAGTTGGATGGCGCTGGTTGTTGCAATCTTTCGCTCAAGTAGGACTATACTTCGTTTTTAACATAATACACAACGCTGTCAATCTGCTGGGGCGAGCGCATGACTTCACCTAAAGTCTCATTTGCTCGAGGGCACGTGATAATGAACCTCAAGACGAGGTCACAATCTCGAGCCAACATCTTTGACAGTATTCTACTTGTTGTGCACTAAATGCCAAACCGAGTATACGAGAGTTACACTAATGTCCTATCAGGGGCCATTAGGCTGGCCTTGCTGCTGAGCGCGGACCCATGCGGAACATCCATCCTGCACAATTGCAATGTTTGTTCTCTACAAGAACAAGTAGGACCCCCCTCATGGTGCGATGACATCATGTACAGGGCGTAGAGTCCATAAAAAAAGAACGGATGTACACGTGTCGGGGCCAATTGTAAAAGATCTCTGTAACACAAGGACACGGTGCACAAGAAGCACGTACCACGTGCCAAAAAATATTGTAACGCGTTCCACGCGACCTCATGCGCCTCTAAAACAGAGGTTCTCAAACTGTGGTTCGGGGACCTTCCAAGGGTCCTCGAGGGGGGGGGGGGGGGGGGGGGGGGGCGTTCAATAGGGTCCGAGCTTATTCGAGGCCTTCGAAACGGCCAACTGAACCTATCGTTTCACGAAAAAAGCAGTCAAAATTTTCAATGTACTTGACAGGATAGATGCAATGACCAAGAACCTCGATGTTTGGAGCAGTCGAATGAAGAGCAAGGTTTTAGACTCCTTTCCCCAGTTGAATAGCTTTTATAAGTCCTCCGAAGGGTGCATCCAAAAGAGTTGAGGACCGCGATTCAAGAGCAATCGCAGTCCCTGAGTGCACGAATGCGAGAATACTTCCTCCATCTCGGTGCCAACACAGGCTGGAAAATTAATTAATTTCAAGAAAAGGCCGTTGGAAGAAGACGCGCTGTTTGAACTTTCTTGCAACATATATTTGAAACAAGTTTTCTCGCAACGCCCCCTTACCAATGTGAGAGCGCGGTGCTTTCGTAATATCCTCACACGTGCGAGAAGGCATTAAGACTCCTGCTGCCA